CAAATAAAATAGGAATTTATATAATATACAAAATAAATAAATTTTTATCTATAATTTTTTTTTTTGGGTTGCTACTGTAGTCCTAGGGTCACAGATAATATACGTCATTCTAGATTTCTAGGATTTTGTAAGACTCGCAATCTTAGATCAAGGGAATGTTTGAAACGGGTAAAGTCATGGTAATTCTAACGAAATTAATAAGCAACGAAAATAACAATGCAACAGAAAATTACGTCTAACAGATAATAAATTTCACGGCAATTATATAACTAAACTTAAATACTGATTTAACTAAAAGCCAGATACTCAATCAAACAATTAAGAGCACATGACCCTAATTTCTAGCACAAGCAATGGTTGCCAAGCAATGACAACCCCCAAACCTAATGATTACCCCATATGATGATCTACTAGTGCAAAAATATAAAGGTTTTAGCCAGTTTACCAAAGCGGACGTATCTGAGTCCGTAACGTGGAGAGATGCGAATTTACTGCTTTAGGGCCACCACTATTCGCCCTAAAGATTCAGCAAATATAACAATTCTGATTAGCAACAAATGCAGATTGAGGTTAGGGGCAAAATTGTCTAACTTTTTCTGTGCAACCTGAAACGCTAAACCAAACACATCAAATTGTTCAGGAGAATGAAATAAATGAAATGGCAGAAAAATCACGCAGCTGGACCTCCCACGCACCGTCGCTAGACTGCCACCATTACCACCTCATAGGGGGCACCTCGACCTGCTGGTTATGGGTCCGGACTCCGTTTGTCCGAATGAGGTCGGGCTTGGGAGTAATTGGAAGAATAGGGTTCAGTAAGTTTGGAGATTAGCGCCTATTTCTCTCGATTTTGGACCGGTTTTGACATAAATTGAAGCCTTACGCTCTGATACCAAATGTAAAGAGATGATATTGATCTCCAAAGATAACTCAAGCTCAGTTTATACCAACTTCCAACACCACAAAGTCGACAACTACGAACCCAAGATAATACCAAGATCGCTTCCGATTGCCAATGAGGTATATCACTTAGAAGACCACAAAGGAGAAAGAAATCTCATAAAGTATCACCACTAAGATGATAGACAAAAAGAGCAGAGAATATGGAAGAAGAAGACACGTGAATTGGCCAAGACGAGGAGGTAGCAATGGGTTCTCTCAAAATGAGAGAAAGAGTCAAATTTATCTTACAATCAACTAACCCAAGTAAGGTAAGTATAGGTAGGATAAACAATGTGTCAAGTTAGAGGCCCAAGAGACAATTAAATGGGCTCACAAGATATTCTCTCAATTAATAGCCATCCAAGGAAGTGTATCGGGCCACGAGCAACACTAAATTATTTAGGTTGCTTCGAGTGACCCAATTAACCTTCGGGTTGTATCATCTTGAATGTCGTGTTGGATTCTCATTCAGTCATTTGGCTAAACTGATTGAAAAATTAAACGAGTAATATCATAGCCCGGGGGAGGTCGTTTGACAACAAATTGCCTAACAGTTATCTTCCTCCCGAAGATGATAAATACATGTGCTATTCGGGTTTCCAGTGGGTTGTTACCTATTAGTACTCTCAGTGGCACTAGGTCCATTCCAGATATGGGCTTTCTTAGCTAAATCATCTAAGTAGTCTATAGCCTCATCCAGATATTTTTGCAAAAATTCACCATTACACATCATTTCAACAAATTGACGCCTCCTAAGTAATAATCCCTCATAAAAATAACTCACAATGTGCCAACTTTCATAATCGTGGTGGGGGCAGAGGGCTTGCAATTCTTTGTACCTTTCCCACACTTGATATAAAGTTTCACTCTCCTTTTGAGTAAAAGAAGAGATTTGCTTTTTCAATGCAGTTGTTTTATGGTTGGAAAAGTACTTGCCAAAGAATGCTTAGGTCATTTCAGCCTAAGTCCCCATAAAACATGGTCGCAATGAATACAGCCAGCTCTTTGCTCTTTCTTTAAGAGAAAATGGAAAAAATTTAAGTATGACTGCATCCATTGTACCATTTTAATTGTGGAAAGTTGCAACCACCTCTTCAAATTTCCTAATATGCATGTATGAGTTTTCATTTTCAAGACCATGAAAGTTGGGAAGAAGTTGAATCATTCCCGGTTTAAGCTCCATACGTGGCATATTAGGTAGAAATATAATCATGATGGTGTAGATGTGAGTGTAGGGTGAAGATAATCATGTAAGGTCCTAGTTGGTGCCTCTTCGTGTTCACTATCAGTCATTGTGTAGTGTGATGTGATGTGTGCACCAATAGATTCAGTATCAAAGAGAGGGTTAGGAAGATTTGATGTGTTGTGTTGTGTGTGCCAAAAAATTCAGTATCAGAGAGAGGGTTAGAAAGTGATTCAAACATTGGTTGCGGTCTTGCAATAAATCGTCCCTGCTCGTCTCGATCTCTATTCCTAAAGCACAAAAAAATATGGAATTTTGTGAGAAATAATAGAATAAAAACTAATAAAATTAAACTGACTAAAAAGAATAAAAGAAGAACAAAGTCATGCTTTTGCTTAAAAATCCTCGAATTATTTGTACTGTCTCCTTGGCAACGGCGCCAAAATTTTATTACGCCCAAAGTGCAACGTGGTGATTGTAGTATAGCTTTGGGGTGTCATATCCACAGGGAGATGGGAAAATAGTCCAAAGGTTCAAAAGCTAGGTTTTGTTGTGATTTTATGTAAATGTAACGTGTCAATTGAAATAAAATTCAAATAACAATATATAAGTTAAGGAAATTTAAATCAATGTGTGAAGCAGTGAAGCGCCGGAATTTCCTCGATTAGATTGGATCAATCAACGTCAATTTTGCATGAAGATACCCAATTAAAGGTTTTTGTTTTTTTATCCTAACACTTTAATTGGAAGATTTACACATTCAAATCCTTCTTTAATTCCTTAAGAGTTAAGAGTTCGAAATCTAAACTTCTTGCACAACATAATTCCACAATTGTTTATTGAAATTAGATCCAAAATCGATCATATACCTCAAGCATATGATAGTAAAAGATTACACCAACAAACGGTTTGAAATTGAAAATCAATAAATACTTCGATCATTCGATGAAAAAAACTTGATTGAATTCATGAAAATCTAATATGAATTAATCCAATCTCAAACATGCCCAACAAACATAAGAAATCTAATTTCAGAATCTTTAACAATGAAAAAACAAATTACATGTAAGAAAGAACGTTGAAAAAACCAAATCTAACTGAGTTCCTTCGTAGCTTCATCAATTAATTTAGTTTTCCATGAATTTCTTCAGCCAAACTTGAAAGAAAATTGATAGGAGATGATTGAGGGGCATTTTTTCTTGTTATGGGGTGATTTAGGGCTTAAAATTCATGGGAGATCAAGTTACCATAAGAGTTTGAACGGAATTAGGAAACTAAAGATTCGGCAAAAAATTGTTATGTGCGACTACTTTTAGTATTTTGACCATAAATTTCTCTCCTGACGTCCAATTAAGGCAATTCAAAATGTGTTTGAAAGATAACATAAAGGGATACAATGTTTTTGGAAATATCTTTGTCCAAATTCTGATGTTTACTGAGTCAAAAGTGGACTTAAATCTCCCGCTGAAAATTTGGAAAATCTTTATGCAGTTGGAATTTAATTTGTGAATATGTTATGGTCATATTTAACTTCTTTT